TAGATCAGAACTGCTGCCATGCATGAAATTCCACCAGACTTTATGTGGAGTACCTGCTCACTAAACTTGCAAACGGCTGCACCTGCAGAGATGTGCCCATGACTATGAGAAGGTCACATCGAGGAAAATCCTGACAGAGAAACAAAGGTGGGACATTTAGTTGTTTTTGCAAAGAGGTTAAGTTCTGCACCAACAGCCATTATTTGCTCACCATTTTCATGGAAGTGAAGAAACGGGCTGGAAGGTTCTCTCCAAAGAAAACAATATCTGAGGGAAGCAGGATGCAGCGAAGATATTTTGAGAGAATATATGAAATCTTGCTCAAACTAAAAGCAAAAAAAACAACGTAGAGAGACTCTGTCCAGAGCTAAAATAAGTAACACTTAATGTAGAATGACTTTAAAATCAATAAATAAAAGGATCTACAAACCCGGTTTGACCAAATTGCTGCACTTATCACACTTTGGAATTGCGTCAGAGAAGATTTTTTCTGCAGCACATAAGAGACAAAATTAGAATCTAAAATCTCCAAACATCATCGGAGCTGGAAACATTTCCCAGCACCTTTCATCCAGTCCAGGTTGTACTCTTTTTTGCAGCAGAAGCTGACACAATGGGAGGTGTAGAAAGTTCCATGTGCCTCGATCAGGTCCTCTCCTTCCAACCCGGCCACTCGCTCCAGGGTGTCAATGTTCTGCACAAACGCACACATCAACATGAGTAGAGGAACTTAAAATAAGCTGTATTTCTGTGCGTTCCAGGATTTGCTACTGATCCACCTGTGTATAGCATCGTCTCAGAAGCCCCTTGTCCTTCAGCATCTTCATGAAGTAGTGGCAGATTGTTGGCTGAAATCAAGCATGGCAGAGTCTTTAGTACATGAGACAGCAAAGAACTGCTTCTCCCAATTAGCAGGCTGTTTTTTCTACCTTAAACTGTCCTGGGTACAGCTCCTTGGCCAAAGCGAAGAATGGTTCAGGATGTTTCTGTTATTAAATTAATGCAAAATATGTACTTGTTTATGAGTCCCATTTTAACAGTTATACATTTTTTGGAGAGAAACAAACAGACCTTAAAGTAATCAATCTGGAAGATGGCCTCAGGGTAAGGCAGGTTGTATTTTTGGAGGTTTGCATAGAGGCCTGTATCTGGAGAGCGGAAATCTGGGATTCCAGCAGCTGTGAAGGCAGAAGTCATAAGGAATTATTCAAACACAAGAAATGTTCCATAATAATTAACAGGTGTTTCATTATCTCGAAATCCATGCATTCATACTTACATGTTGATATTCCTGCCCCAACCATGCAGATGATGTTTTTACCTGCATGCATACAGAGACACTCATGAGCTTATAGGAAATTATTAAGCATATGCATTTCTTGAAACTAGGGAAACACCAACTGATCAACCTCCTTTTTTTCTTAATTTTGGGAGATCGGCCGATACTTTGATGTAAAACAGATCTTTTCTGCCAATCTTATCTCGCCCTGCAAAGGTCTGAAAATCACCCACTGTCAATGTCCTAAACTTTGATTTATATTTGAGGGCAGTATGGCAGAAGCTGTTATTGTTTCCTGGGTAATGATTAATGTCTAAGTAAGATAAGATTGAAATACTGAAGGCGTCTTGTGATCCTATAACATGAAGAAAAAAAAATCAGTTTTGGTCAAAATCTGAATGTCAGTAATTTTTAAGATTGGGACCCGACGATCACCCAAAAGCCTGCAATAGGTGCACCCCTGATTGTTATCCCAGGTAATTAGCCTTGGAAATATCCTCTTTATACTTTTCATGTTTTATTACCGGAGCATAATCTCATAATGAGGGTGATCATCTCATTTTATGTGATTAGAAAGGGTCACTCCAAGAAACTGGTGTTTTTAAAATAAAATGGCATGTTTTTGTTTAACTTTATACTTGATGGTTTAAAGCTAATGAAAGTTTCTTAGACATTTTACATAGGCTCCCTTTGTTTCCTGTGCGCCTATAATATAATTATACTCTTCTTTTTGTTTTTCTATCTAATTATTTTATTGCATTTAACTAGGAAAGTCACAACTGAAATTAACAATCTTTTTTTCAAGGGAGACCTGGCAAAACAAACAAAAAAAAAAGTTAAAAGACATGACATGTAAAATGTTTAGACATTAAAAATTATACCAACTAACATCCCAAGGCGTAAGAAGCCACTGAGATTTAACAAGACAAATGTTCCCTTAAACGTATTGTTATGCTTGGTGGCAGATTGGGAAGGATAAGCAAGATTCCGTTGATCTTTTTATGACAAGATATTGTTTTTTTTTTGCTTTGGGAATAATTATATCCTTAATTAACATTGATTTTGTTCTCAGTGTGAGACTCTGTATCTGCAAATAACCAGTAAATAGAAGGGAAAAAAACTCACATTTGCCACTTTTTACGTAGCGTGCAACTCCCTCCAGAGACAGCTCATCCAGAACTTTCTCTGCAGAGCCCAGTCCCAGGGCACTGGAGAAAAGGCTGCGCAGGAAATCCACTGGCAATGACAGGAGAGGAAATGATCAAATGTATCTGTGTTTTCATTTAAAACAATGCAGAATCAGTAGCAAATGCAGTATGCTTTAGCAACATTATATTTTGCTTATTGTATAAAGAAGGCAGGTTTAATAGTTTATTTTTTCTTCTCTAAGTTTTCTTTTACATTTTTACATTTGTAAAGTTTTGTTTAAACATAACTTGAGATTATTTTTAATGTGTGATTATCAATTTGTTGGAATTAAAAGTAAAAAATGTTTTTAAAATGACCTAATAAAGAACACATTAACAGTGCAGTAATGAATCATATCATTACTACTATATAAGCCATTGAGCTGTGAGCTTTGTATTTAGACGTACTCTCTGTGTCTCCTGCGGCTTCGTCTTCACTGCTGTCCTCTGATTGCACCTGCAAAGGAACGGATATTTACTTGTATTTCCAACTGTCCTATATAAAATTGCTCTATCAGTGGAAAAACAAAGCAGCTCTTTGTTGTGATGCTAACCATCGCCTGGGTCTGATTTCACCTGACAGCTAGCTAATAAATAAACAAATAAAAACATGCTAAAAATAATACAATTAATCCAACCTCGGGTTCAGCTGTCACCTCCTCCTCTTGTTCTTCTTTTTTTGGTACCTCTGAAAATCAAATCATTATCATTAGAAACTCGACAGACTTGTTTTAAAGGGACTGACCCGATATACACAGCAGCTAATAGGTCTTTTTTCTGGACCAGACGGTCCTCCTACCTGATGGCTCAGACATTTAATCGTCTGTTATGACTCCAAAACTATGCAGTTAGGGTTGACATTCAATAAAAACCTCTAAAAATGAGGAAATGATACAGGAATAAGGAGTTTAGCTACTATACTGACGCTCAGTCTTGTTGTTGTCCGTCATAAACCTACGTCCGTCTACACTTTCGTTCTAACAGCCAACATTAGTTCCGGCTGCAGCTCACCTTTTTAATTTACTTAAACCAAGAGTTTTAGAGAATTACAAGCTCAATTCAATATATTACTGAATGTTCATCAAACATGGTATTTTAATGTATATTTATTGAAGGGATGTATACTTACAGATGCGACAGTCACTTTGGTCTTTGGGTTTTCTGTTAGGTGTCGGTTTCATTTGATACAGAGAAAAGATTAACAGGATTATGGGCTCTAGCTTCTTAGATTATAAATACATACAGCCACACACGTGGACAATTTGCATCTCTGGTGACATACATAAAATGCCTTTAAATAAATCAATATATTAATCATGAGTACAATCTCACCATAAAACAATGAAAAAAAAAAAACAATAATTTAGCTACCATGTAACAGTTGGTAGACAATCCATCAAAATAAATGAACAATCTGTTACAAATGTATAACACAAGTCACATTTCCCATGGCCACTATCTACATGAAAACCAGTCGGAATTAAGCCAAGAAAAAAAAAAAAATCTGTCTTACAACCAAGATCTTAACATGTGGAGTTTGCTAAACCTTAGTGGGAAATTAATTGAAACTATGTGTTTGGGTTGGAGGAGGAAAAAACTTGAGTATTACATTCACAAACAATTAAAAGTGGGTTTAGTGTGAAACAAATCTTATTAACCAGTCTTGAGTTGGGTGCAGGATCTGTTTCCCTTTTCATCTTTGCACCTACCTAGATGCTTTACATGTGAATTACATTTTAAACAAACACTCACTAGAGATAAATAAATAAAATCAATGTTCTTAAATGTATATCAGTTCCAGGGCCTGCAACCTTATTAGAATTAGACTAGATTTAGACAAATTTTATTGTCGAAATTTCGATGCATACAGCTTTTCATGAGCACCTTACAAAAGTGAAATGAACATTTCCATTTATAAAGTGCATGAGTAATCCGATTGTAAACAGTAAGGGAAAAGGAAAACCAATTTAAAGACAACCTAAAGATAAAACGGCATAAGAGTAACGCTGGACTGGGAGTAACCTAAGTAGATTGTGTAAAGACATGAAAGAATCAAAACTCAGATTTTATCTGTAACTTCATGTTGTTGAGATCAAACGTTAAATATCTTAAGACTTTTTTTTTATTACTTTATTGGGGATGAGAACAAATTTGTTCCACATATGATGTATTGTATGTACCAGATGGTTTTTAATGTCTGTCAAATTTAAATGAAAACACTCAATAAGATTTACAGTTGGTTGAACAATAAACTCTTTATTATGTACAACATTTTTTATATTCAGAGAAAAGAAATTGTGTTCTAAATGTGGAATTTTACAAAAAAACGAAGTCTTGGCTGAATAAAGAACAGACACAGATACTCCAAATAGTCCCCAACATGTTAAGTCCACATATGTTGAACATTTGTCCTTTACATATTTCTCTGCATTTTTGTTACCTTATGTGATGAAATTGCAATGAAATCAAGGGTTTATTTCTAGTTAAGCAAGAAAATTAAATATGAAAGAGCAAGATCGAAATTCTCCTTTATGTAGCGACTGCAGTGTCTTCATTGGTCCACTACCTCCGGTTGCACGTGATCCTATGACGTCTCCTCTACAGCCTGCCTCAGACTCAGGTCATAGCCTTCTGCTGTGATCTGGCAATGTGGTAACATCTCCTCCAACAGGATGATCACCAACCCTGGACTTGAAATCTTCGGGAGGTAGGACACATTTAGACGCTTCAGTCCTCTTCAGTAGAAGAAAAAAAAAAAGAACATTATTACAGAGATGGATTCTTTTCCTTAGAACAAGTGTGTCCAAGACAGGGGTGGAAAGTAATAAATTACATTTACTCAAGTTACTGTAATTGAGTACTTTTTATGAATAATTTGTAATTTTCTGAGTAGTTTTTGAAATATGTAATTTTTACTTTTACTCGAGTAAATTTTAACCTAAGTAGTTTTACTTTGCTACATTTAAAACCCCCTCACCTTACTGAGTAAAAAAATAAAATAAAATACTGATGGCGAAAAAATGAAATGTGGCCCTGCCTTGCATTTACCCTTTGTATTGTCTCATAATCCAGTGCTGCGCTTCGGAAGATGGCAGTTGCTAATCACAACTTAGGGCGTATGGATGAGGAAAGGCCTGAAGAGGAAACATATTTTGGAGACGAAAGCCAGAAAAACCCTTGGCCATATTTGGAATGATTATTTGTTTTCAAATGCACAAAAGGGAACAATGTGATAATGCAGTGCAACATGTGCCTGCCCAGCAAAACGGAGCTTTTGGCTTTTAAAACATCAACATCCAATTTACGAAAAAATGTGGCGGTAAGTTAGTTATCGTGGTGTTGTCTGTTGGACAGTAGGATTGAAAATTGTTTGCACTTTATGGTTCAGGTTGTGACTGTCCTTGTGCTGTGAGGAAGTATGTTCTTTAGCCCAGCTGATCTTTTGCAAGTGTGGATGTCCACTGAAATACGCCTTGAGATCGATTAAAACACCTTGTGCTCAATTCCATTCATGACTCATCCTTTTTTTGCATTAAATTACTCAAAGTAACTAAGTATCTTTTACTCAAATTACATTTTAAATGAAGTAATGTTGTACTTGAGCAAATTTTGAGATGGGTAATTTTACTTTTACTCAGAGTAGAATTTAGGTAAAGTAAAGATACTTTTACTCAATTACAATTTTTTTTTTACTCTTTCCACCTCTGGTCCAAGATGTTGCTTATTTTGGGCTGATTTTGTTTATTGCCGTAGAAGCCTACCTATTGTGGGACTGCAGAATCTGGAGCAGTACAATCATTTTTTGTTTTATCTTTTTAACAAAGAAAAATACAAACTGTTTTTTTTCTAAATGTTTCCCAGTCCTGTTTTTATTGCTGATGTTAAAGACATAGATACAACATTTTTCATTTGAATTCAAATTTAATTGCTGGATGCCCTTCTTTTATCAGAGAAGACCCTTGTTTTTTTAATCTACAAAGACCTAAACATTCCTTTCATACAAGCAAAACATTTATTGTCAAAAGGGTAAAAAATAAAATAAAATCTAAACATAATATTTTGTGATGTTAGAGTTCTAGAGATGTTTTGTTTTTAGCAGTGAGTACTCCAAGTTTGCAATTTTTCAAACTTGGAAATTTGCAAATTTTCTGGCTCATATGAAACCCCCCAAAGAAGAACAGTTTGTGCAGCACTTCTTTAGAACCTAGGCCACACTGTGAGGATAGAGCGTACCTGAGATTCCTGAGAGCAGCCAGGCCACCTGCAGTTATCTGCGTACAGTGAGAGATGTCTAGCTCCTCCAGAGAGTCCTGGAACATGTGGAGTCCTGCCAGGAACCAGTCGTCCACCTCAGGACAGCCTTGTAGTTTTAAGGTTCGCAGGTGCTGTTGTCTCTCTGAAGGTGTTGATAAACCAGGTTAAAAAACTGGACCAACTTGCTCAGTGCCAAACTAATTTAAAAGCAAAGAAAATGTTCTTTGTCAGCACTTATTACCCAGGTTAGACAGTCCTGTGTAATTGATGATGGTGTGACTCATGTCTACTTCTTCAACAAGACTGTCCTTGTAGTTCAGGAACTCCCAGCTGAACTTTCCTCTCGAGTTGGCACGGAACCACTCAGACTGGCCCACAAACCTGCAGGAGTAATGGTGTAATCAATCAATGGTGGAACCAGGTGTCAGCAGGTGTTTTGTATCTTTTACCAGATCAGCAGATCTCCCCTCTTTTGCAGAAAAGCTCCCTTGTAGCTTTCTCTGGGGCTTCGCTCGTGAATTTCTATCATTCCTACAACTGTCAGTTAAAGCTGTGTGGAGGGGGGGAATTGTTTTTCTGGGCTGCATGTAAAAACAGGCTTAGATCAGAAGCAAGCAGACATCCGCTAAACATCTAATGACCAAGCTCCATCTTAAATTAGAGATCTGATTGTATCTTATGTTTATAATAGAGAACTTCTCTCAGGTTCTGCAGGTTTACTAGTGTTTCCTAGAATATCTGACAGTAGAATTGGAGGCAGATCTTTTAGTTATCAGGCTCCTCTCCTGTGGAACCAAATACCAGTTTTAGTCCGTCTACTTTTAAGACTAGGCTTCAAACTTTCCTTTATGATAAAACTTTTAGTTAGAGTGGCTCAGATTATCCTGCTCTATCTCTATAGTTATGCTGCTATATTCTTAGACTTCTGGAGGACATTTCATCTTTCTATCTCTATTCTCCCACTCTGCAGAATTTGTTAGTTCAATCTCTAATGTTCTGCTCTCTCTGCTTTTTCTCATAGTAGCTTCATCTGGTCTGTTCCTGTTTGTCTCTGACTCCATCTTGGAGAGAAATATCAGCGGTGCTGCCATCAACACCTTTGTTTATAGATGTTGGAGTTTGGCCTGTTTTCCAGTGTAGTCCTGTTTCTCTGACTGTGACTGGCTGGATGTGCTCTCTTCATCCTCTGAACATGGGAGCTGGCTTGGAGCTTGCCTGCCTGGCTGTGTGTTTCCTAGTCTGGGCCGCCTGTGGAGCTGGTTGACAGTTACCCTTTGTATCTCTGCTTCTTTCTGTATGTCTGCTTCCGTCTCCTTCATCCGCAGTCGGCCTCGGCAGATGGCAGCTTAAACTAAGACTAGTTCTGCTGTGGGTTTTGTCCTGTTAAAAAGGTTTTCCTCTCCACTGTCGCTACAAGTATGCTGGGTGTGAAAGATTGCACTGGAGTCAATGAGTTGATGCAATCAACTGGTTTTCCTCAGATAGAAAAGTTTGAACCAATCTGATCTGAACTGTTTCTGTAAAGTGGCTTGAAATGACAAGTGTTGTGAATTGGCACTATAAAAAATAAACTGAACTGAATTTTTGTCTCAGTTTTGTTTTATTTAAAATGACGGTATTGTGTAGCCCCAGGTTAGATCTGACTATTATAGAACCTGGTAAAGACTGGATCAAGTTCATTAATCTCTAACTTAACTCTAGGATTGAATGATATTTCATCTCATTTCTTTCTACTCTAAAGAAAATAAAGAGAAGACGCATAGCAAATGTTAGTAATGTAGATTATAGAGTTTTAAATGCATTGGTCCCCACTGAGGCAACAGTAACAGACGAAGATTATAAACATCAAGTGTAATTTATATGTTTCACAATCTTTCAATGTGTGTTACTTTCATTTCAGGCTTTAAACAGCTTCAATATATTGATACAGTAGCTTCTGAAAACACTTCAGTGTTTTTACCCTTTATTTATTCTGTAAGGAATAGAATCTTCTTTTAAAAAGTCATCTCATATCTCATCTCATACTGTGTTGTGGATACAAGATCATAACAAACACATCAATTACAAAAAGCCTAATCTTGTCCTGTTAAACTGAGTCAGAGGGCTGGCCCATAATAAATGGTGTAAATATGCAGTCCCCTCATTTGGCATCAACATAATGTCTATAAAAAAAAAACTTACCGAAATCCTCCCCCTAGACTCAGGATGTAATATGCAGATGCTATTTCTGGCCCATAAAACTTCCGGGTGTAACCATAGTAACTGTGAATGACAGAAAAAATACAGGATGCATGAGCTGGTCATCAAGGTTAAGGTTTGGTAAGCTTGAAGCGTGGAAACTCCAGTCCTCTGATGTCTTACAGGTTCTTCCTCTGGAGCCGGTCTCTCCCCACCTTGGCTCTCCAGTTCAGCAACATCTCCACATCATAGTAACGTTTGGCGAGGAAGAGGAGGCACCTGGAGAGGAGGGAACCAGGAGCTGCTGAGCTGGAGCTCCACCGTCGCCTAGCAACGAGGAGGAGAGCAGACCGCTGGCAACATCTGTGAAAGGACTGAAAAAAAGAAAAGAAAAATGCAGAAAGGATCTCATAAAAAGGAAGAAGCTTGGGCAGACACAGCGGCGATGAAAATTGAAAGTTAAAGACATAAAGGACATAATATAACAATAAAACCGCAGAATTAATGAAGATACAGATGTTTCCTTGAGGTAAGGTTAGCATAACAACAGATAAGATATAACCTGATGCAAACAAACAAATTAAACAAACAAAAAACACTTCAGTCAGAGTTGATCAAAAAGTCTCCAAGAATCACCTTAGAAATATTCTAACCTTTCAGGTTATAGCTAAACTGGACGGATTACTTACGAGCAAGGGAGCTGACATGACACCAACTTCCAACAGCAAGCCGTGAAGGACAAACCTTTCGTTTTCGCCTTCCTCGTGGATCGTATCCAAGAAGTTGTTCCTTTTTGCCACCACTAGAGGCCGCTAGTGGGTATGGCCGGAAAACTACACGGTCTAACTGGAGTACTAACAATTTACAGAATTTATTTAATAATTCCAGCTGAAGGGAATGAATCACGTGGCTTAAAAAAAAAAGAACGTTAGATATGCAGAAAAAAGAAAGATAGTCAGACTTCATGGGTTAATAACCTTTAACAGTCTAAGATGCAAAACTTAATAAAGCATTTATTCTGCATTCTAAATTACATATGTTTTTTACTGTTTGCAGCCAAACAGGCCTATGGATTTGGGATGTGCATGAGTAATTGAAACTTCGGCAAGAGATTCCCCCATCTATGCAATGAATCACTGCAGCTCTTCCAGAGTTAACAAGATTCTTTTTGTCACTGCTTTTAGTAAAGCGCCTGGCCGCTTACTCTAAGTGGCCAGCAATTCATAAATGTGTGTATAGGTGTAATGTATAAATGCTCATCAGATTTAAAAAAATAAATAATAAAAACAGGAAAATTGCAACATTTGCTTAACTAAGCATTTTTTGTGGTTGAATATAAGAGATTTCGCAGATATATTTTGTTTAGATTTACTTATACCTTTCTACCCCTTTTATAGAATACAGTAGAAATTAAATTAAATAGAATAGAATAGAATAGAATAGAATAGAAAATCCCTTTATTGTTCCACAAGAGGGAAATTCTGGTGTTTATGACAACAACAAAATAAAAAAAAAAGGTTCACACAAACGTGTACCTTAGAAAATGTATTAGAATAACATAATACATTTGTGACTCACAGCAGCAGATTCGTGCAGTTGTATTCATTGATTTGTATCTGTGTTAAGGAAAAAAAATATGTATTTTTTTTTTCTTTTTGAAGATTTTAATATGCATGTTTGAATTTGTTTTGCACCGTTTGTTTTAGCAACTGTAGTAAAACTGAATGGAAGACATTTTTGATGTGCAACTCACAGAACACAATTTGTGTACTTGTACTCAAGAATTTGAAGAGGTGTAACTTTTTTTGTGATTGTGTCAGATAAAAAAAAAATCTACAGTTGCAAAACATCAAAGTTACAATGCACAAATAATTTTGCAACAATAGTTCTGAACCATTTAAAGCAAAACTGAGAATGTAAGGGGTTTTTGATGTGCGACTTGTAGAACAGAATTTGTGTACTTGTGTACAGAATTTGTGTTACTTTTACTTTGAAGCACCGGTGTAAAAAGGTGTAAAAACAGGTTGCTTTTTTTAAACAGGTGTAAAAAAAAAAGAAGAAAAAAAGTACTTTTCTTGATTTTTATTTTATTTTACACATACAAAATTTATGTGACTCTCTCTACAACTTAAAATTCACACTTACAATGCACAAATAGTTTTGAAACAAAATAACCTTAATAGTTTTTAACTTTGACTTAACAGAACTCAGGCTTTCAGTAGTTTTACAGTTCACAGAATAGAATAGAATGGAATAGAATAGAATAGAATAGAATTTAACTTTACTGTCATTACATTGTCACAAGTACAAAGCAAAAAAATGCTGTTTGCATCTGTCCAGAAGTGAAATACAGGATATAAATATTTATTTACATGTATACATAAACTATGTATGGATGGATTATAAATTGTATATATAAACAGAAAAAGCAATTGTAAGAGGCTCTAAAATAAATAGTTATTTAACAAATGAATGTGTTCATCTTTAGTAGAGTTGATCAGTGCAATAAGGTTTTCACAGGTCTGCCTAAAAAGTCAACGATACAGCAGCAGCTGATCCAAAATAATGCTGCCCACACCCTCTCTAAAACAAAGAAAGTGGAGCACAATGTAGCTGGCTTGTCGAAATGTGCTTCAGCATATCTTAGGCCATGTTGTTTGAGGAGTGTGTGCAAAAAAAGGCTTCTCCTGCATCACTCTCCTAAACTGCATCACCTTGTGCAAAGTGTGCTGAATAGATGACTGGTGTGTTATCTACAGGCAGATTATGTTGGAGGTCTTTGGCGCTGGTCTGTGGGTGGACTGTTATTGTTCTCACCATCATTTGCATCTAATTAATTGATATTTTTATTGCCGTTGCCACTTCGCACCCTAACTTGAGCTGTAACTGTGGTCTTCTATTTCCCCGGTATGTTCCTCACAGTGGAAAATGACAGCTGAAATCTCTAAGATAGCTTTTTGTAACCTTTTCCTGAACAACGATGCTGAACAATTTTTGTTTTCAAGTCATTTCAGAGTTGTTTTGTGTTTCCCATTTTGACACCACAAAGAGCAGAAAAACTTAATTGGCCACCTTGAAAAACAATTTCTCATGGTTGGATTCACCTGTGTGTGTAGTTAAAGGGTCAGTGGGCTTACTAGACAAAAATTTGTTCCATTACTTAGTGCTAAAGGTGTTTAAGTCAATAAAATAAATGAATTGTTTTGTTTGGATAATCATTGCAAAGTGTCTGTATTTCCTAGAAACTTAACTTCAAACTGTTGCTCCAAAAAAAAAAAAAAAAAAAAAAAAAATTATAAAAGAAAATCACAACAATCATCAGCGGGGCCGATTGGTCATGGCAACCCCTGACCTTACCCAATCACTGGCCACCCCTGTGGCCACCCTTACCATTTTTACCCTACAGACGGTGGCAGCAGTAATTCTCTCAAGTGGAACATTTTAACTTAAACATTTTAATTTTCGATACGTAAACAATTACCTGAGAAGAAAAACACTGTGGTTAATTATGTACATCAATATAATAACATTAAAGAAGATAAATGCAGAATTCATGTTCTTTTCAGAACTAGATTCTGTCTATTATGGGATAAAGAGAAAATTACGTCTGTGCAAGACATCTAGGAATCTTTACTGAAATCAGAGATAAGTTACTACTTTAATAACAAGTAATCCATTTAATGTAGATATTAGTACATGTAAATTTTTATTTTATGCAGAATGATTATTAATAAAAGTAGGTAAGTAACGACAATGAATTGAACAATGAACAATGAAGATATTCGCCCCAGAACTCAAAACTGAAAGAATTTTGTCCACTACACCTTTAATTTAGACACCATGTGTGTTTAAATATATGCAAATGAAAGTATAGTTTCAGAAATTTACAAGTTTGCACTTTGTGTTTAATATGACAGGAAAGATTAAAAACATGAGTATATTATTTAAACATAGTTGAAACAATTTCATTATTGTAAAAACAATAGAATCGAAATTAATCAATTTAGAACTCTATGAATCAAAGTTGAATCGATTCAGGACTTTGGCTAAAATACCCAGCCCTAGTTTTTATAATTTTCCCAGCTTTTATTTTTAATAAAAGTCTATTTGTTCTGTATTTTTTCTAGATTGTATGACCAAAACATGCCAGGCATGACACATCTGTCGTACATTCCTTCATATTATCTTTACCGAAGACGATTAGGGCCACTGAAAAAAATTTTTTAAATTTTATTTCATTTTAATATGGGGAAAAAAAGTCTGAATTCTGACTTTTTTTCTCAGAATTCTGAATTTATTCTCAGAATTCTGACTTTAATCTGAGAATTCTAACTTTTTTCTCAGAATTCTGACTTTATTTCTCCAGAATTATGAATTTAATCTCAGAATTCTGACCACAGTTCATGAGGCTTTATGTGAACATGTCACCACCTACTGGTGGAGAGTAGAACTACAGTTTGTAATAAAATCTATGATTTTTTTGCAACTGTTTTTCTTTTTTTCCCCCCCTTTTGAGTTCCCTTGAAATTGTTAATGGTTGGTGTGTATTATAAAATATTTTGTAAGTTTTTTAAGTGTAAAACAATAATTTAAGGTGCACAGTTTTTCTGCCATTTTTGTGAAATAAACTCAAGCAGACAGTGAAAGTGTTTGTGCAAATTGGCCAATGATGAGCAAAATGAAAAGTGTAAGTCATTTTTATTCAAACATAATAGCTTTCCACGTTTTTTGGCTTTAATCAGGTTGGAAGTTGTGTTCAACCAATCTTTTGGCTAAACCGACCTAATTTACCCAATTTTTACTAGGGCAAAACAATGCAAATTAGTCTACCGGTAATCAGCCAAAATTATTAACTTTAATGTAAACTTTCAAAAGCCAAAGACAAGTCTTGAACCATCAACCTCTAAAGTGAGAGCCATTGGCTTACAGATGACGCCACCTATGCAGGTAACCTAACCATAGTTGGGAGAAAATAGTCATAAATAGTGACGTGTTAACACTGGCTTTGTCCGGTGGTTTACTCAAATTTTAATCATTACATTGTTTATTCTAACCAAATTAGCTTTAAGCAACTAGTTTGGTTGTTTTTCCAACCGATCTATTCTTAGAATCTATCCAAACTCTCCTCCAAAGACCCACATCTTGACTGAACACTGAGGCTGTTCAGATCCCTGTCAAGCTCCTTGCGCATCCCGATCACGTAGTTTCACGCTAGCGAGGCCTCTGACGTCGTCATTCTTGGCCCCGCCTCTAAATTAATCACGTGATTCGGGGGGAAATCCCCGAAGGGCGTGACTCTTTATGACGTCACTCTCTTTGAAACTATACAGTATCAAGTGAACGCCTGCTTGACCAACTCATTACCTTAGTGGGAAATCGCAAGGAAGGTTGTGTGTTTTACTTGACCAGTAATTTTCTGTGTTTTGTTTAATCAACAGATAATAATCATGATTGCTTGTGCTGCCGTGAACTCCACCAAAAAATTTCTATATTGTAAAGAAAAATCTGAAGCTGCCACCGCTGCTCAAGAAAAGGCAGATTATTTGACACCAACCCCTGTGAAACATCAGGCACCAATGGAGAGTCAAACAAAACCTTCAGGTTTTCAAACGGTTAGACTTACAGGTGTCCAACCAGAAGATGGAAAAGGTTCAGAAGAAGCCAACCCAGGGATTGTCTCCAAAGTACAGAATGTACTTAAAGTGGAAAATATTATAGGTAAATATTCTTCAAAAGCAGGTGAAGTTTCAGGCTCTGAATCTGACA